GCAATTGCAGCTCTTCAAACTCCCGCAGAGACACTTTACAAATGCAAATCTATCTGACATTTGAACATTAGCACTTGTGTGGGCTCCCAGAACAACGACCCACAGGAAGCCAGACGCATGTCTGCTCCATTCAAACTGCACCTCAGACCACCGGGGGGTCTGGGCGGGGGGGGGGGGGGGTATGTGAAGCACAACAAGTGCCTTTGAACAAGACCCAGCTTGCCGTAATCTCTGTGGTGTGTTGTGTTGATGTAGACGAGACGCTGCTCGCAGCCTGTTGCTGCTGGCCTGATGGGAAGACAGATTACAAGACGACTCTTGTGTCAACAATTGTTGATGCACTTTGGTTGTGTAGACGACTCCGCCTTGTTGTTCCGATCAGATGCTCGGGTTTCACGACAGGATTGTTGTGTGCAAGTGCACAATGCAGATAAAATGCAACCCAACAGCCCTATATGCCGATATACCTTAACCGACAGCTCCAGTTAGTGATGTTGTTGCCCTTGTTTCATTTTGAGGTACTTGTAGTTTACCTCCACTCTATGCTACTTTATATTTCGACTCTACTACAATTCACAACACCCTAAATTACTCCACAGAATTAACATACTTAATAGGTAACCAGTTTATAAAATCTGTTTCTTTAGCATAACAACGACAATAATAATAGTATTACAAATAGTAATATAATAGTAATATATACAAGCGGGGGAATTGCATAATTATGATTTCTACTTTTAATGTTAGATACTTGCTGTTACTCGTACTAAGGGATTACTGTTACATGGTGGTTTTGCTGCTTTAACTGAAGGGTTAGTTCGTCAGCTAGTTAGTGAGTTCTTTGACTCTTGTGCCACCAGCCGAGCGTAGCCGCTGACTCATGTTGCGAGGTGGAAGAATGTAAGTTACTCACTCGACAGAAGGAAACCTGTAGAAGAGGGGGAGGCTGCCTCACTGTGGGGAAACAAGGTATCAGTCCGAAGGAGATACTTAGAATCACATCTATTTATCTTGGTCGACTTTCACAATCGACGAATTTGCTGTTATGTATTGTGGCACATAAATAACATTTAGTTGAGTATTTAGAGTAGTACACTCCAATGATTAGAAAAACACCATTATAGAGTCAAATACAAATACAATGAACTGGCAGTGAGCATGTGCCATTATCCTGATCTCCAGGAGCATATTTGATGTCACTGTTTCCACTTTAGGACATGGTAAAGTATTTCCTTGAACAAGAGGAGAGAGATCTAACAAAAGAAGACAGTTTCAGTGAGTAACAAAACATTTTAGGTGTAATTTGATAATTAAATAAGATGTGTTGTAGATTTTTAAACAGAGCAGTTTTACAGTCAAGTGAACCAGTACAGTTTGTTTTATGAACTTGCCTTGGAAGCTGAAGACAAAAACAGGTGTCTCTCCATTCCGCGTCATCGACGGCGTCTGCCGACTGAGGTTCGGGGGTGGGAGAGCGTGGCCTTCAAGCCGGTGCGGATCTCCTTATACGTAGCATTCAATTCCTACGGTAGGCTGTCTCTTCTGCACTGCTTAGGTGTACTATACATGTGCCTTGTGCAGCCGTTTTATAGATGTCTCTGCTGCCTCTGATTTGCAGTTGAAGCGGCGTCGTTGTGGTGCACCAGTGATGGTTGCTATTTCTTTTGTTTTGATGAACAGGAGCTGTCACTGGTAGGAGTGACTGGCTGATCCCGGTGGAGGTTCGCTCCATTTTTTTTGTTGTAGTGCACCTCGGTGTCAATAGTTGGTGTGTGGTTTGTTTTTGTTTTCACGTGTGGTGGAACATTCAGCTCCTTCCCCCCCCTCAGCAAGTCATCTCTGCCAGTGACCCCTCCGTCCCCCCCTACGTTGCATCCATGGTAACCGGAATGACTCATAAACGTTCCTTTTTTTTGGTGTGATATTGCATCAACACTAGATTTTATTGAACGTTCATTGTATTTTAACAAAACAATTTGATATTAAAAATAAACTTGTATAATTTTGTTTGTGGAATCACGTCCTGTGTCCTGTCGTTGACCATAGCTTGGTGGTCCCTGTTAATAATTCCTGGGGTGAATTAACGCCAGGTGGCGTTGTTGGCTTGTAACAGTAAAAACAGATTACCTTCTTAGCATTGCCACAAAAACTTAAACTTTCAGGTTCACATGTGTTTGTCAGATGATCAAAACGTTTGTACCTTTTTTTTGCATTGAATCATACTCGTATTTACTGCAACTGAAACCTACCAAACAAAAAAATCCACCAGCCGCCACTGGTGAAGTCATCTTCTGATACATGAAGTTGGGGGAAAAGCAATGTTGGGTGTTACATTTTCTCTTGAGTCACTGACGGACCAACATGAACGGAGCACCACACCAGCAGATCGAGAGGAACGTTGGCAGCATTTGGATTTGGTCTTTACTGAATAAATACCCTTATCGTTTTAGCTGCTAAATGGACAAGTTTTCCGCAGGCTTGTTGCTCCCCTCGCTCGTGTGATGCAACGGTTCATGCAATCAGGAAAAACAAGTCTATTTATATGGTTGAGACTTTGCAAAAAATGAGGACTGATAATCCTCGCCACCATTACATCGCCACATTTGGTAGGCACCAAATCCTTTTTTACTTTTTAACTTAACTTTTTTAGGTCTTCTATCCTATGATTTCATTTTCACACCATAACACATTTTTTGCATTACAATAATGAAATATTAAGTTTCAACACTTAAAAAAAACTTTTTCAACAGGTACAATTGGTTCCTTTATAGTTTTTTTTATATAATACAAAAATGTTTCCATATTTTTTCAATATACTTTATTTTTAGTTTAATCCAAGATACCATACCATGGCATTTATTTGACACACATTTTGAATCACTTATTTTGACTTTATTACTTTTTTTGAAATGCCATTTTTTTTATATTTCCAACATTCTATACTAGGATTTGTATAAATATGAAATATTAAAGACAGCATTACGTTATAATAGCCTTTTTTGATCCACTTGAAACCACACATGAAAACATAAATATTTGCTTAATCCATAAAGCTACAGTTAGACAAGTAATACAAGTAGAATAGACCCAGACGCTTTCTTCCTTATGTTTACATTAATGTCAGGACACCACCCATTGTATGTGATTGGATTGTCGTGTCATTGAATATCGTTTCAGAATGTCTTCCCGTGCCTGTGAGCCCCTGGTCCCCATCCGTGTCTGCGTTTTGCCCCTCGGCATTTAGACTTTTGGATTAACGAGTCCTTCCACCCCGCGTTGTGACAGAATGACGTGACCATACAAGAACTCAGCAGAGTTTTTTCCCCAGAACCAGGGGAACCTGTCTAGCCCTGGGCGGGCCACGCAGCATTCCGCTGGCAGCCTGTCTCGGGGCCAACGCTTACCCTGGAACTCCAGCTGGCTCCCTGGCGGACGCCTGTGGCTCCCCCGTACGGCGTTCCGGTCGGCGTTCCCGCCGTCTCCTGGGCGATGCTGTCGCCAGCAGCTGACTGCTTACCTCCAGGCCACCTATTTACGGTCATCGGCTGGGCCGCAGGGCACCTCCGTCTACGCTGGGCCGCAGCGACCTACCGTTCCTGCTCCTCGACGCCAGACCCTGTTGATTCTTTAGGCTTGTTTTCATCTACATACTCTGAAAGAGTTGAGTTCATTATTGTTATTGAATGATGATGCATCCATGAAGCCTCCTGCAAGCAGGCACATTTAAAGAAATATAATTTGATTGATTAGAGCAGGTGTCACATACCCAGTGCCAGCGGGCACCAGGTCGCCCGCAAGGACCATATGAGGCGCCCGCAGGCCTGTTCTAAAAATAGCACAACTCACCACTAGCGGTCTAAAAAAAATTAAATTAATTTTATTATTAATTTTATTTATTATTATTATTATTATTTAAATATTTTTCTAATCACACTTGCATTTATATGTATATGAAAATGACAAGATATTTAAAATAAAATAATTAAAAATATTTGTATAATACATGAAAGTTTTGATAATTTAGTCGAACTCTGACCTATTCTAGTTCAAAGGTGAGTGCGGGAACACCAATGATGCGGAGCTGAAGGCACATCATGTCCTGGAACATTGCAAAGTGACCTGCACCTCAAAGCCCACCAGGCTGCACCAAACTTTTGGAGCCTTCTTGACACGGAAAATTACAGTGGTGTAAGCACAGCAGCTATGAAGGTCACCAACCTGTTTGGTTTAAACTATCTCTGTGAATCAGCATTTTCTGACATGAACGTCATCAAGAACAAACACAGAACCCGCCTCACTGATGCACACCTGCAAGACTCACTCAGAGTTGTAGTGTCAAGTTACACACCAGACTACAACACACTGGTGAACAGCATGCAATGCCAGTTCTCCCACTAACAAAGAAACAGATACCAGATGATATCAGTTGCAAAGCTGAATCCAAAATAGGATACATTGTGTTCATTTTAATAGGGTTAGTGAAATGTAACAGATATAATTTTGTAAAAATTCAGCAGACTTTTTGCGGTCCTTTGGGGGGACGTGGAATGACGAGGATACAGCGGAGAGTTTGAAGCAACAGTCTTTATTTAAGGTTTTTGCAACACAAGTAGTCAAACCTGCCCTCTAAAGAAGAGTGGAAGATCGTGTCTGTCGACATTTTATTGACTTCAGAGAAGTGTTTGTGTCTGCACCTCGGAAGAGCACAAAAAGGTGGAACGGAGATACACAAAGACCCGGTTTCCTCACACATCTTTCCATAAGGACACAACATTTTTCAACATCTTTTCCCCTCCTTGCACATGTCAAAGGAATAAAAAAGGACTTGAGTTAAAGTTCAAAAGCAAAATATAAAAATTCATTTAACAAACCGCAGGCAACAGATGAGAAGGAAACGTGACTTTAAAAAAAGTAATGTGACATGGAATGTACAGAATGTGAAAACAAAAGGTTCCATGAGAACCGGTATAACATCAAGCTTCACGTTTCAATTAATTTCCCACTAAAGCTATTCACGTCCGCATTGAGGTTCACGTGTTCCTTTCCGTGTCCATCTTTTTACACCAACTGTTCAAAAGTTTCATATCATCTTTGTTTTCAGTTTGGTCAGTAATACACAACGAGGATGAAAGGCTACATTTTTCTTGTTGTGAACTTGGCACTTTCATCAACATTCTCCCCAAAACAACAACAACAACAAGTAAGTACATTTCTTTATCTTTGTACTTTTGTCAAATGATGATGGGTTTTATGCTACAGAAGTGTTTAAGTACCTGATGACGAACTATGTTCATTATTATGCTCCGAACCATCACAGCAGCTTCCATGTATACGAACATCTGATAGTGAACATGTTTCAGATTTTTGAAAACTGTAAATTAGAAAACCATTACGGGTTTTTTCCTGCACTTTATGTTGTATTACAACAAATTATATAAATGCATTTGTTGATGAAATAAAATGTGATTCTTTACAGAATGGAATGGAGATAGTGGGTAAGTTAGAACCTCTGATATTCTTCATTTTATTTGACCGAAATAATTCAACATAATTACTTTTATTTAATCCATGTTACTTCATAAGGCAGCATCTCATCTGTTTTTGTAGATATTGGTGAAGACAAGGACATTACCGAGGCAAACAGGGGTAACTTTAAACCTCTTCATGGCAATAAATCAACCTTGTGGTCGGATTATTTTCTCAAGTTCCTATTTGGCAGAGATCCTTTGTTGTGTGGTCATACTGTTGCTCCACTAACTTGTTGATTTTTGTTTTAGATTTATTATATGATGATATTCTGGAGGTGAGTTCTGTGGTCAAACATTAAGGAGATTAACACGCATGCATGAAGTTTTGGGTCACCAAATACATTTCTTATGAATCAGAGACCGAACACCCAAAGGAGTGCAATCATTGATGAGAGACGACTGTGGACATCCCCAGTACCGTATCTCCTGGATAAAGACCTGGGTAAACATATTTTCTCCTGTTTCGTAATCACAAATAGTCAGTTAAGAGAGAAGAAAGCTGCCACTGGCAGGCTGTGGTCACACAGATTACGCGCCGCACAGCAACACCACATGACGTGAACTGAACTATTGAAGCTGCTCTGGAGCCGAGAGCTCTCATAACAGAAGAAACATAACTTATCCATACGTTGTACTTACATTGTCCTTTCTCCTTATTACACAATTTCCATTTGGAAGAGATGAACGCTAAGGGCGTCATCCTGAAAGCTTTAGACCAGTTCAGACTGAAGACTTGTATCGACTTCAAACCGAGGGACTCGGAAGAAATTTACATCTCTGTCCAAAAGTTAAACGGGTACGTATTGTAGGGTCTTCACTTCTTAGTTTCTTTTGTCTTTGTTGTTAGCAATTCAATATTAGTTGGGCTAACACTTAGATTAATTTTCTTTCAGCACATTTGGTTAATTTTATTTCCTTAGCATACTTTTCCTCTTCCTCTTAACTTAAGCTTTGATAAATCACACTTGTGGTCAAAAGTTTATTCATGAGTGCCTTTTCCTGTTTTAGATGTTTTTCATATATTGGGCGAAACACTCAACCTGGAGGACAAGATCTTTCCATCGGGGCATTCTGTGATCACGTTGCCATCGTTGAACATGAGTTCCTTCATGCTTTTGGCTTCTACCATGAGCAATCCAGAAATGACAGAGATGATTATGTGACCATCCTATTCGAGAACATCCAACCAGGTTGAATTCTCTTTTAGCGTCATTTCAAAATGTGTTTTGGATTTCAAGACTAAATTAATTTTCCCACTTACCTGTCCATCCTAGCTGCCCTCAGGTTTATATTATTTATATCAAATATTTGAAGGCTGTCTTTCATGTGTCTTCAAGGTATGGAGCACAACTTTCAAATTAGCAACGAAATCACCACCACCCACGGAGTCCCGTACGACTACTCGTCAGTGATGCACTACGACAAAAATGCATTCAGCAAAGGAACCGGGCCAACAATTATCACCAAAGACCCAAAATTTCAGAATGTTATTGGTCAAAGACGGGAAGTGAGTCCCAGTGACGTTTTGGAGCTGAACCTCCTCTACAAATGCAGTAAGTGTTTGAGGTTTAAAGGCACCAACCATTATTTATTCATACTTATATCATTCAACTTTGTATGAACATAATATCCACCGGAAAGTATTGTGTCATTTTAACTCAAAAACATCTTTCTTTCAATCAGAGCAGTGAAAAGAACTGATATGTACGTTTTACTGATCTGGCACCACAATCAACAAGTAATTCTTAAATGTCAGTACTAAAGAAAAGAGCAAAGAATTGGTGTTATAAAAAAAAAGATCTCATTCCCTTATCCGATCTGTCACCTCTGTGTGTAAGCAGCCTACGGCAACTGAAACTCCCTGGTTACGGTTGTGGTGACGTAGCAGACGACCATCCAATTTGTCCCCTAACAGTCTTTGTGGTGCAACAAAGGGCTATTTTCATCCATGACGTCGACTGACAACAGTGACTACTCAAAGTCACAAGTTTTAGTCGTAGAAATGCACAAACGCAGGCAATGTTTTTCAAAAAGACAACCAATGCTTTTGTTTTATTAAACCATTGGAGCACTTGCAAGGCATGTATGTGACTAATAACACTTACAATCGTTGCTAGATAGAAAAACCGGAATTGTGGTGGAAACAGGAGATATGGATCAATGCAGAGTTAAGATGAGATGATCAATGTCTCTCTAATATTGTCAGGGATGGGTGGAGGAGGGAGGAGTCAAGCGCAGACTTCTCAGAAAGCAAAAGGCAAAATCAAAAGGCCAAGGGGCAAAAACACACAGGAACCAGGGGGAAAACAGCAGGCAGGAAACTATGAACATCCACGACGATAGACAATGACGCGACAAGTGACACAAGTGACACACGGCTTAAATACACAAGGGAGGTGCAGGTGATTGGACACAGGTTGAAACTATTAGACGTTCACAGGGGATGACAGGACAAGGCAGGAAGTGAAGTTACCCGGGGACACGAGTGGCAGAAAACTACAAAATACGACAGGAAGTGAACCACACCGTGACAAATATCTATCCACGAAATAGAAGGTTATTGTTTAGTGAATGGGAGAAAACCATTAGTGCACCTCTGTAACAATACAAGCCTGACTTATTGCTACACAATGCTAACACTTCCATACCTGAAAAAGCTGTTTGAAATTCAGCTCATCGCACCACGCATTAATGCTTTTTCCGCAAACATTAGCACAAAATCGTTCACATTTTAATTTGATACCTTGAAGTTTATTAATCATTCTCAATCTTGTGTTATTCATTCACCTCTGCAGACACGACGATTGCATCAAAGATGTACTGTGATTTCTCTAATGGGTCCATGTGTGAAATGAATCAATGCTCAAAGGGGGGCAGCAGCTGGGAAATGGTAACGAATGTTGTCGCTGGTCCAAAGTCCGACCACACCAATCTACCAAGTGGAGGGGATTCTGGTAAGATTTTTAAAGGAAAACCTTGCAGTTTGTAAACAGCTTAATATGCTAAATGTATTGTTGTTTAACTTGTTATGGCACCAACCATGAACAACAATATTCAATATTACAATATGGCAAAGCTCTTCAGGGGTCTCCACTTTCCCCACCCATCGCATGGCTATAAAATGTTGCATGAAACTTTGGTACGGCGTGGTTCTTCCCTATTTCATTTGAAACCAGAAATGTATTGAGCCCCAAAGCCTACCACTAAATCTAAACACTGGACTGGTCACCCGTCAATCGCAGGGCTGACCAAATTAGTGTCAACAACTAACCTAATGCCCCGAGCATGACTTTGGACTGAGGGACGAAGCTGGAGTACCCGGAGAGAAGCCACGAAGACACTGGTAGAACATGCAAACTCTGCATAGAAAGGCCGCTGGGTGGTATAGAACCCAGAACCTTCTTACCGTGAGGTGACAGTGCTAACCACCACACCACCGTGATGCCAAACTATGATGATCTTATAGTTGTATCTTGCTGATTTATCATTTGCTTTAATCAGTTACCTTTTATATAGATCGGACATTGGAAAGTCCACCATAACACATTTGTTTTGGACAACAACGTTGTAGGTGGTGATACGGGTTACTTCATGCATGCTAGCACAGCATCAGCTCAAGAAGGAGACTCGGCCTGGCTACAGACCCAGGAGATGAGACCCAATAGGGAATGTCACGTCCAGTGTCTCCAGTTCTACTATTATCACAGTGGAAACGGATCAGACCAACTCAACATCTGGATCAGAGAGTTTCAAGATGAACAGGACTCCTCAGGAACACGCCGCCTTATGGGACAGATCACTGGTAATCTCAAGCTGTATGATTATTTCATATAATCTGCTCTAAAGGATATTTAAGACTCAAATGTTTGAAAGCTAAAAATCATAGTGCAGGTATTGATATTCAAGTGATGTAACTAAGTCATCCGAAAACGTTTTCTCCAGGTTCACCAACATCGTACTGGCAGCTCAAGCATGTTTCCCTCAATGCCACCAAGACCTTCAAAGTTGAGTTTGAGGTTCGTAAAGGAGCAGGAAACTCTTCAGGTGGCTTCTCAATCGACGACATCAATCTGTCCGAGATCGAATGTCCACACGTGACCATGCAGATCGATGATTTTGAGAACATTTTGAAGACTAGCCAGACTCTGGCCAGTCCACGGCACTACTCCAGTGGAGGCTATGCTTACAGGTTTCTGATTCTGCCAAACAATGGAACCGTCGGCGTGTATATGCAGCTCTTGTCTGGTGAAAATGATGACAGGCTGGTGTGGCCTTGCCAACAAAGGCAGGTGACCTTCAAAATGCTCGATCAGAAACCCAATTTGCAGCTGCAGATGTCAAAGCAACGGAGCTACACCACTGACTTAAGGCAAATCATTAATGGTAAGTTGAAAAAAAACAGGTAGAAATCCCATTTTTTGTTCTACTCTTTAGCCCACTATATGTAACAATTTCCTCTCTGGTTATTAAAAAATGTAAAACGGTATTACGCCTGTGACATACATAAAGGTACCTAGATACAAGTTCACCATTGCATTCAACCCATCCTAAGCATTAGGAGCAGGCTATTGTGAAGCAGCTGGGCAGCAGCTTGGGGTTCAGTCAGTGTCTCATTTGGACTTTTTCCAGGGCCTCATGTACTAACACTTTCGCTCCCACAGGCATATTAGTTTCGCAATGTGCGTTTAAAAGCATGGCGAGGTACTGTATGTACAAACAAGCCCCACTGAGGTAAAAGCGAGGACTGCCTGTTGCGGAGACTGAAAAGGGAAAATTTCGCTTTCCGTGTCATGCATATGCATTCATTCAGGGGAGGGTCATGGGGAAGGTAGGAATCTCCCATAAAGAGATGTGAGGCGATGAGTAAAGTCTGTCTAATTATGTATTCCGTACAGAAACCCCTCGTGATAGCGTGCCTCCCGTTTGCGGGAAACATTCAGTGCCTCCTAAAAGACTAAACAAGAATGCGGCTTTCCTCACATGTGCCTCCTGGTGAAATGGCAGCAGTAATCTGAGCCAGACGGCGACATAGGTCAGTGAGGCCAAGCTTTTGCAACAAGAATCACACTTTTTCAGTTGAGTAAACATAAAATCATTACATGTTACAGATGAAGCGGCCCATGCAATATTACAGTTACTGGAAGAAATCAAAGATGACTTCGCATCTCCAACTCAGTGTTCACGTTCCATTCCAGCAGTTGTTAAACTCCTCGCTACGTTGCAATTGTTGGCAGCAGCATCATTTCAAACAGTCATTGCATCAGCAGTATCACATCACAAGTACTTTACGCTTTGCTACAGCGCACTAGTCAATACACACACTTCACCATCACTGGTGCCCAAATAACACATCGACTTTGTTGTCACTGAATTTTTGCTTTCGCTGTTTTGACTGTTTTGACTTTTGATCTGTGATACAAAGAGAGAAGGAGGTCCATTCACTTGCACATTTAAATGCTCGCAATGTGCGCTATAGTGGGTGGAGAAGTTTGCAAATGTACATACGTGAGTCCCTGAGGTTCCACTTGACTTGCTCTTGATCATCTATTTGCTTTTAACAGGTACCTATTTATGGGGCAATCCTCGTGAGAGGGGAAATCAAATTGTAGATGACTATGGTGAGACGTTTTTTGCCGGAACAGCGTATGGTTTCGGTGGTTTTACTGATTCCGAAGAGATCAAATCCAGTGACTTCCTCAAGGGAGGGAGTGCTGTTTTTGTCTTCAGCTTCCAAGGCAAGTTGATAAAACAAACTGTACCTGTTCACTTGACTGCATAACTGCTCTGTTTGGAATTCTACAACACGTCTCATTCAAATATCAAATTACACCTAAAATGAAGTTTTCTTACTTACTGAAACTGTCTTCTTTTGTTAGATCTCTCTCCTCTTGTTCAAGGAAATACTTTACCATGTCCTAAAGTGGAAACAGTGGACATCAAATATGCTCCTGGAGATAATGGCACATGCTCATCTCGGTAGGGCATTACGTAGTCAATATAGACTGAATACAACTACTTACAGCAAAACATTAACTAAAGAATTCTGATTTTAATATAATGTATATTTTGCCTCATATGCCTTTCCCAGATTCCTAACTATCCGTCCACCTACTACCACTGCCAGTCCACTTAATACCAGTCCACCACCTACCAGTGTTTTTGGCTTCTGTGCTGGTTTGGTGGCTTCTCCTGTCCTCACCCTCCTATTGCATTGATGCCGTTGATACCTTGATGTACATCTCATCTGGGATATCATCAGTACAATTTCCACTGGCTGAGTAATCTAGTAGTTCTTCTCTTTATATTAGAATAGACAAATATTACAAAAAATGTTTAATAAGTAAATAACTATTGGTGAAAAATTGTATGATTACTTTGAGTCCCAGTTATATTTTCATGTAACAATTAACCGCATGTGTGTACTCCTGTGGTGTTTGGTGATGTGACCGTTTTTTTATTCTTTTTATGTTTGTGCGTTGATCTAGAAAGTGTACTTTGGCATAGCTGACTCCCAACATCACTGCAACAACGCGATCCTGTAGATACACGCTCTACAACATCAGGAGAATACGTCCCCTTCTCACTCAGAAGGCAGCGCAGGTACTGATTCAGGCTCTTGTCATCTCCCGCCTGGACTACTGCAACTCCCTCCTGGCAGGTCTCCCTGCCACCGCCATTCGACCTCTGCAGCTCATTCAGAATGCAGCAGCTCGACTGGTCTTCAACCTTCCGAAATTCTCACACACTACTCCACTCCTCCGCTCTCTTCACTGGCTACCGGTGGCCGCCCGCATCCAGTTCAAAACACTGGTGCTCACGTACCATGCTGTGAATGGATCGGGTCCAGCTTACATCCAGGACATGGTCAAACCCTACATCCCAACCCGCACTCTCCGCTCTGCATCTGCAAAACTACTCGTCCCTCCCTCACTGAGAGCAAAACACTCGACTAGGTCTCGACTCTTCGCTGTCCTTGCGCCGAAATGGTGGAACGCGCTCTCTGAAGACATCAGGACCGCAGAGAGCCTTCACATCTTCCGCCGCAAACTAAAGACACACCTCTTCAGACTCTACCTCGACTAAAGACTAACAAATTGTAGCACTTAAATTGTACTTGTGACGTCACTCATCTATAGCAAATTGTAAATTTGCTTATTTGAGGAAATTGCACTTTCTTGTTTCTTGTTCTCCTGAGTTTGTACCCTATGGTTGAATGCACTTATTGTACGTCGCTTTGGATAAAAGCGTCAGCTAAATGACATGTAATGTAATGTAATGTAATGTAATAGCAGTCTTTTGATGAAAGTATCCCTGCTTTTATAATTAGCTAGTACACAGTATGATATAGAATTCTATAACTTTCGCTTTCTGGTGAAAAAAGCAGCATATACAAGCAATAAAGAAAATGCACCCAACAATATGATCTGGTTCATTAGACAGTGCTGTATTATTTTGGATTGAATTATACCGGGGGTTTGTTACGGGATGTGAAGTCCAGTGGCGGCTGGTCCACAGAGGGCAATGGGGCGTGGCGCCACCTTGAGCCCCAAAAAAAGATTATATTTGTTTTATTATATTAAAAATACATTTTACAAATAGTCAATATTTGTGTTTTTGAAACATTGAATATACCCAGTTTGTAAATTAAGACATTTGTGCAAAACATTTTTTTCTTGCACGTCGTCTCCGCCTGTCTGCATGTCTCAGCTGAGCTTGGGCAAGGTCAGCCAATCACTGATGAAGATAAATGATCGGCCTACAATATAATTTTAGGGTCCTAAAATACATTCAGCTTAGGCTCCCAAATGGCTCTTCAGATTTTTTGGTTCTGGCTTAAATTAATTTATTACCAACAATAATGTAAAAGTATGCACAATATGAATTACTAATGTAAAAAAAAAACATGCACGATATCAAATGTTTATTATACAAATACACTTTTATTTATACAGAATGATAAAACAAATAAATTAGAAAGTGCAAAAACAAACGTTTAACTATTTACAAATTAATTAACCAGCTTTTAACTATTGTCACGGCTCCTCCTCGGCCTTGCAGGGGCGGTTCCTCCTGCAGGCAGAGGAGGGTCTTTAGCGATTGGAGCCACCTGGGCTCTAGGTATAAGAAGGCCTCTAACCACTTCTGTTTTTTCTCTCTGCTCCTCCAGGTATGTTCCTGTTTTGTTTGTTCCTCTGAAGGTTTTACGTTGTTCACACTCAGTCATGTTTACACATACAGATTCACTCAACCATGCACCTTACATACACCTTACACTATGACATTCGCACACCTCATTCCTTTTCTTTGTTTAAAGTTACTAGTTTTTGATTAATAAACTTCTTTTGATTGGCCTATACTTGGTGTTTGTGTCCCCTCATTCTTGCCACAGGCTATGAGCCGGCCTGTGACAAATGGGGGCTCGTCCTTAATATTAAGTTAAAGTTACTTTAGTCGTTAGTATTTGAGTACTCTAATAGTTTGCCTTATTTGGTTAAGGTTTTGTCTAGATTGTTTTGGCTTTGTCATTGATTATATTTGTTTACTTGAAGTTTGGTTCATGTTGATTATTGTTTTGTAGTTAACTTGGGTTAATCATGTTAGGTTAGATTGCCAAACTTTTTGTTTGAGGGGATGCTTTAGTTTGGCCAATATTGTTGGAGAGAGCATTGAGAGCCAGGTCTTCCTTTTGTTTGGTTAGCTTTATAGTTTGAGTTCACAATTCACTCTGCTTTTTCTGGGGTTTTGTTCAGATTGGAGTCCTCTCCTTTTGAGGCTTATCAGCGAGTATCAATAGGAGGCTCGTGGTGTTTTTGTTTTAGGTGGCAGTGAACGTGGGTAGAGCTTCCCTAGTTTCCTTTTCCCCTACATCGGCTCGGGAGCACCTCCGTGGATGTGGGGGGGCAGCCAGCTTCTGGTTGTCTTTCCACTCTGCTGGTTTTGTGTGCATAAAAACCCACCACATGTGACTGCACGAAGACTAGGGGCCAGTTAGTTAGTTTATTTTGGAGAATAGTGGGGTGTGGCTCCTGTCCTTAAACCCAAACTGGCAGTAGGTGAATTGTGTACATTTTTTTTCTCCCTCGGAGTTGGTAATGGTTGTATTGGTTGAGGAAAATGGCTTCTATTCTAAGTGGTTTTGTTCAAACTCCTTCAGAGGTAGCTTTGGAATTGTGTACTAAGGAGCAGTTAATTGAAATTGCTGACCATTATAAGATTGAGATTGATGATGGAAAACTTAAAGAGTCTGTCAAAGCTAGATTAAAGCAGGGTCTTAGAGAAATAGGTGTTCTTTGGGGTCACTCTGTTAGTGAGGGTGCAAGTTCAGTCTAGCCCTTCATTAACCTTTGAGCAGCAGCGGGAGCTGTTGCAAATGCAGTTAGAGATAGCACGATTGCGGAATGTCAATAGACCAGAAGGAGTACAACAGTTTGACGTTTCACAGAATCTTCGTTTGTTGCCTAAATTTGATGAGTCAGATCCAGACACATACTTTACGCTATTTGATCGTATTGCAGAAGCTAGAGCTTGGTCAGATCGGGACATGACTATGTTGTTGCAATGTGCACTTACAGGTAAGGCACGTGAGGCTTTTTCAGCACTGAGTGTAGCTGACAGTAAAGTTTATGCTAAAGTTAAATCAGCAGTTCTGAAGGTCTACGAGCTCGTGCCAGAGGCATATCGTCAACGTTTTCGTTACAGGAAGAAACAAGATTCGCAGACTTATTCTGAATTTGTTCGCGATTTGACTTCTGCATTTAATCGTTGGTGTACAGCTTCTGAAGCTAGTACTTTTGAGGATCTGTCTAACTTGATCGTGTTAGAACAGTTCAAAAACTCTGTATCTGACCAGGTTGCTACATACATTAATGAGCGAAAAGTTAAGTCGCCAAGTGATGCAGCAGTCCTTGCAGATGAGCACAGGTTAACCCATAAAAGCCATTTTGAGTCAAATAGTGATATGCACTTTAAAAACTTTACTCCTAGGAATAGTAAGTCATCTTTTTCTGGAGCTTCGTTCCAAAGGCCACAGAAGTTTGGTTTTGGGGGATCTAAAGCACGATTAAAAGATAATACCTGTCGCTACTGTTTAGTTGAAGGACATTGGAAGAAAGATTGTCTGTTACTTAGATCAAAGAAGTTAGCTCAAGCTAAACCGGCTGTGATGGCCGTTTCTGGTACAGCCTCTGACCATCAGGGTGAGTTTTTTCAGCCAAAAGTTGAGTTTGGTTCTCAATCTCACCAAGGTGACTTTTCAGCTTTTGTTTCGGATGGTGTGGTGTCGCTGGTAGATGGCAACCACAATGTTCCAATTAGGATCTTGAGAGACACTGGAGCTTTGGATTCTTTTATTTTGGAGTCCATTTTGCCTTTCTCTAAGGTGTCTGATACTGGCAGTTGTGTAATGGTACGTGGCATGGGTTTAGTTCCATTCTCTTCCCCTTTACATGTAGTAACTTTAAAATGTGGTCTGGTAGCGGGTGATGTAGCGGTTGGGGTTAGACCCCAGTTGCCAGTAGAGGGAATACACATGATTCTGGGGAATGACTTGGCAGGTAGTAAGGTGTGGGCGGATGGCAAAATAAACATCTTTAAGAAGCAACCTTCAGTGCCCCCTGCAAAGGTATCTCCAGAATACAGTTGTGTGTCTCCTGAGGTATTTCCAGGGTGTGCTGTTACCCGCTCTGCCGCACTCAAGAAGATTGAGAGTAAGCCAGAAAGTCTCGAGTTGCCAGTTAAACTCCAAACTGAACAGTTGACTAGTTCTAGAGAGTCATTGATAGCTGAGCAAAAGGCCGATACTACCTTAACTGATCTGTTTGATAGAGTTGTTCCTGAGGCAGCGGTGAGGAATAATGCTCAGTGCTATTTTCTTCTTGAGGGACTGTTGGTCAGGAAATGGGTTCCACACTCTGTTCAGGGTCTAGGCGAACCAGTTTTTCAGATAGTTGTACCTACTGTTTTGCGAAACAAAGTGTTGCAAACTTCACATGGTGAGGTGGCAGGTCACATGGGTGTTCGTAAAACTTATGATCGCATACTCAGGCATTTTTTCTGGCCTCGTTTAAAGCGAGCTGTAGCTCAGTTTATTAAAACTTGTCCTACGTGTCAGCGCACAAGCAAGCCAAACCAGGTTGTGAAGCCAGCTCCTTCGTATCCAATACCAGCCATAGGACAACCTTTTCAGCATCTTATTATCGATTGTGTTGGGCCTTTACCACGGTCTAAGTCAGGTCATAACTAATTAACTGTTATGTGTCACGCAACGAGATATCCGGCAGCTTTTCCCTTGCGTACCATAACTTCAAAAGCAGTAGTTAAAGCATTAACTCAATTCATTTCTACATTTGGAATTCCAAAAATCATCCAGTCAGATCGGGGTTCTAACTTTACCTCCCATTTATTTGCTCAGGTTCTCAAACAGCTAAAAGTTAAACACAACAAGTCTGCTGCGTTCCATGCCCAGAGCCAGGGAGCTTTGGAAC